TTAAGACTATAGACTGCAGGGGAGGCTGTTCTCTTGTTTTCTGACATGCTATTTGGGTTAGTCCAATGTCACAGTTCTTAAAATTCTTCAAAACCTACTTTTCAATCTGTCAGATTTCAAAACAGGATTAAAATGCCTTTAAAACAGAGGACACATTTGGCCTAACAAAAATACATGAAGAAATTAAATGACTGGAATCCCCAAAAGATTAATGACCTGGTAACTTGAAGAAGGTATTAGGTTTTCTTTTTCTTTTCTTTTTGTTTTGTTTTGTTTTTTTCGAGACAGGGTTTCTCTGTGTAGCCCTGGCTGTCCTGGAACTCACTCTGTAGACCAGGCTGGCCTCAAACTCAGAAATCCACCTGCCTCTGCCTCCCAAGTGCTGGGATTTAAAGGTGTGTGCCACCACCGCCTGGCAGGTATTAAGTCTTCTTAATGGCGCTGTTTGAAAAACAACTCAAGTGTTGGGTGGTGGTGATGCATGCCTTTAATCCCAGCACTTGGGAGGCAAAGGCAGGCAGATATCTTCAAGGCCAGCCTGGCCTACAGAGGGAGTTCCAGGACAGCCAGGGCTACACAGGGAAACCCTGTCTCAAATAACCAAAAAGGAATAATTTAGAGTCATGGGTGTATGTGTGGGGGGGGAGCACAAAGATCTGGGGTAACAATATCCAGTCTCTAGATTTCAACAAATTGCTTCAATCAGCTCTTCCCCACCCCCAGTCCCCAAAGCACCTGCAAAAATAAACATCAAGCTCCACCTCTGGGTTCAAATAATCAACTGTTATTGAACAGTTGCAGCCAGTGCTGTACCCGGTGAAGGCCCGGCTCTACTCAGTCAGCCGGTGGCTGCACTGAGATCACTGGGGTCACATTGAGAAGAGCTAATGCTCTTCCTCAGCTCTGCCTGCTCTTGCCTGTTATCTGTCACATTTTAACTTATCAGTGTTTTGCTCAGCTTCCAATTCTCCAATTTATCCACTGTTAACTGAGGAACCTAGATGCACAAGTTGAGAAGGGCCCCGGTGCTTGATTTCTCAGCCTCTCTGATTTGTCCTTCATGTCGGCTGACAGGTGACTGCAGGGTGTAGTTCTCCACCAGATGATCAAGGCCGTAATCACGCTGTTAGCCTGTTAGCCAATGCTAAAATGGCATCTGGAATGCCATTCCGGTGCAGAGAAGTAACTATGCTGTATGCAGCCACGAGGCCAGCTGTGCAAAGCCATGAGGTCACATCACACTAGCACAAATGGAGGTGCTGGGAGTGTTTAACTCCATGACCTGTTACAGTGAAACAGGTCTTGAGGGTGGTGAAGTTGGCAGGCAGAGCTACCACCACCAGAAATGCTCAAGCAAGAAAGAGGCTCAACTCACACTGCTCAGGTGGGGTGAATGGTGTTAACAGAAAAGCAAGGTAACAAGAAAGACAAATGTCCAGTGGTCAAGGAGCTCTCTCACCTATAAAGTACTTACAATGAGGCTGGAACTTCATTTTCCTGGGACAGTGCTGAAAGAATTTCTACACTTGTTAAACTATTTTCTATAGACCCTTCCAAATGAGACAATACAGCAGAAATTTATTTGTAATTTTGTATCACACATAATTCATTTTGTCATATAAGCTGGAATAAAAAAGAAAATGAAGGCTGGGAGTTCAGCTCTTTAGTAAATTGCTTGCCTAATATCTTTGAGGCCCTGGGTCCAGATCCCAGGACTTCACCAAAAGAGAAGACAAAAGCAAATGCACATTACAAAACAGCATAGATTAACATATCAGTAAATCACACCAATAGAATTCCAAGAAGCAAAAAAATACTTACCTCTTGAACAGAACACGGCAAAACCACACGGCTGAAAAGAAAACAAATATATATATGCATTATATATTGACACAGCTTTGAAACAAGATCTCTAGACTCAATGGAGCTTTAAATCTAGTGACGCAGTGGACAAGAATGCCATTTATAGGAGGGGGTGTTTGACTCTAGGAACTTCAGGACCTCAACTATAAGGCTAAGACTGCCATTGTTGAACTTGGAGGGCTGCCCGCTTCACTGCCACAGGACCTGAGGTGCAGAGGCTGGATTCCTGTGCAGGGTAAGCACGCATGCACGAGTTCATCATCTGCAGGCTCTCTGGTCAGAACGGTCTCATGAGATTTTTAGTATAGATTCATTCACAGTATGTGCTGTACATTTTAAAGATTTATTTTTATGTCTATGAGTGATCATTCACAAAAGCCAGGAGGAGGCATGGAATCTCTGGCGAAATAGGACAGGAGTCAAAAGCACCCAATACAGGTCTTCTCAGTGAGCAGCCAGCAGAACTCTTCACCACCAAGCTCTCTCTAACCCTGCACATAGTTTAGTTCTGATACTTTTACTGGCTGGTTTTGTGTCAAATTGACACAAACTGGATTTATCAGAGAGAAAGGAGCCTCTCTTGAAGAAATGCCTCCATGAGATACAGCTTTAAGGCATTTTATCAATTAGTAATGGGGGGGCCCCATTGTGGGTGGCGCCATTCCCTGGGCTGGTGGTCCTCAGTTCTATAAGAAAGCAAGCTGAGCAAGCCAGGGGAAGCAAGCCAGTAAGCAGCACCCTTCCCCGACCTCTGCATCAGCTCCTTCCGCCTTCCTGCCCTGTGTGAGTTTCAGTCCTGACTTCCTTTGGTGATGAACAGTGGAAGTGTAAGCTGAATAAACCCTTTCCTCCCCAACTTGCTTCTTGGTCATGATATTTTGTGCAGGAATACAAACCCTAAGACAATACTTCTCTTAGAATACAACATGCTTTGAAGTTGATGAATGAATCTTCCCAGAAGTCCCTCCACAACCTTATTATTCAAGTTTTGTGAGACAAAAGTAAAGGTATCTTTGAACTAAGCGGTGACTTCAGGAGATGGCTTTGCACCTTATAAATAACATACCCAAGGTAGGGCCAGCATAAGGAGGATCTGTGCTTGATCCTGTCCAAGTATGTGCTACTGAACATAGCAAAGGTTATCTTTAGAGATCCACCTTACTACAACACAGCACAAGACTCGGAGTCTACAGCTGCGTTGATTCTATCAGAGCATCATTTTTTACCTCCAGATTT